CAACCCCTCTGGGGGCTCCAGTAGCTAGAGACATATTTGCTAGCTTCATTATTCGGGACATGTCCTGTAGCAATTTGCAGTAGCGGAACATCTTCCACCCATTTGTCTAGCCAAAAACGTGTTTCCAACCCATTTCTGACAAAGAACTTGGCACCTTTTTGAAGGAGTGGTGCGGCTTTGAGGATGCCTCTCCAGGCATTGGACATGTTCGTTTTGGCTTTCCAATCAGAAAAATGTTGTTGTGATGAAGCATATTTTGCTCTGAACAGCTGAACCCAGAAACTATCTTCGTTTCGTGCTAACCTCCAACCAAGCTTGGCCAAAAAAGCTAAGTTCATTTGTTCTAGACTGCGGATGCCCAGGCCTCCATTCGGTTTGGCTCTTAACACTGTCTCCCAGTTGATTAGATGCAGACATCTTGCTTCGTCCGTGCCTCCCCACAGAAATGTTCGAATTAGTTTCTCTATGGATGATGTAACTCCGACCGGAAGTAAAGTTGACTGCATGGTGTAATATGGGATAGAGGAGAGAACTGCTTTGGCAAGCACAATTCTGCCAGCAAGGGATAGAGTTTGCGACTTCCAGCCAGTTAGCTTAGATCTGATTTTATCAATGAGGTCAGCATAGGAATCATTTTTCAATCTCCCATGAATGGATGGAACACCTAAGTATTTGCCCATGTCCGTCACCTTTGGCATGTTTATGACACATTCGATTGTCATTTGGTCCTGAACTGGGACATTTTTTGAGAAGAACATGGAGGATTTCTGCAAGTTAACTCGTTGGCCAGAACTACTGCAGAATTTATCAAGGCAGGCTTTCATTTCTTCAGCTTGCTCCTTGGTTGCTTCTCTAATTAACACCATGTCATCTGCGAAAAATAAGTGGGAGATGTTAGAATTAGAGTTATTAATTTTGAACCCTTTCCACTTACCTGAATCAACAGCCATCTGAATTAGATGGCTTAATCTTTCTATACATAGGGCAAATAACAGGGGAGAAACGGGGTCGCCTTGTCTGATTCCCCGTTCTGGTTTGAACCAATCTGATTGATGCCCATTCCAGTTCACTGCCAACCTTGCTGTGGTAACGCAGGCCATGATGTTTCTAACCCAAATTTTGCTTAGCCCGATATCCTTGAGGGTGTCCTCAATGAAGCTCCACCTAAGCTTGTCATAGGCCTTCTCCAAATCAATTTTCCATAACATCCAACCCGAGGCTCCCTTTTTGCATCTCATTGAATTAAGGATTTCTTGATAAAGCAGTATATTGTCAACTATTTGCCGACCAGGTACGAAACTTGACTGATGAGGACCAACTAGCTTCCTAGATATTTCTTTAAGCCTTGATACCATCAATTTAGTAATCAGCTTGTACGATACATTACACAGTCCGATCGGCCGGAATTGTTTGATGGAATCTGGACAGTTGACCTTCGGTATAAGAGTGATTAGAGTGTCATTACTTTGATCAGGAAGCTTGCCCTGCTTAAAGAAATTTAGTACAAAATTGGTTAGGGAGCCCCCCACTGTATTCCAAGTGTTCTGATAGAAGGATGCATTAAATCCGTCCGGGCCTGGGGCCTTGCAAGGTTTCATTTCAAATAGTGCTTTCCTGACATCGGAGGTTGTGAAAGGTTTCTCAAGATCAGCTTGCTCTGAGGCACTTAATAGCGGGAAGTGACCTGTTGGACAACTCTGTACCCGTAGTGTAGAATCCTCCGAATATAATTCCTTATAATAGTTTCTCACATGAATTCTAACTATCTTTTCATCCAAAATCCAAGCTCCAGAGTTATCTTTGAGATTAAACTTTTTTTTGTTGCTATTCCTTATCATTGTGGCAGTGTGGTAATAGCGTGTATTGCGATCGCCTGATGTAATCCATTCTTCCCTCGACTTTTGGAACCAATGGATTTCTTCTTGGTAGAGGATCTCTTCCAATTCCAAACGCAGCTTTTTGTCCAACTTTAATAGATTGGAAGTGGCCTTCATACACAGACTACGTTGAACTCCTTTCAACCTTGCTAGAACACGATTTTTACGTTGGTTTATGTTTCCAAAGACTTCTTTGTTCCAACTTTGAAGTACTGATGCCAGTGATGCTTTACATCCTTCAAAGTCCCCCTCTGATTTCCATGAGTGCTTTATAAACTCTTGATAATCTGAATGAGTTGTCCAGGCAAGATTGAACTTAAAATTACTGCGAATAGGAGAATGTGTAGCAGTTGTAGGGCAGGTATCTACCAACAGCGGGGAGTGATCCGAGGCAACCATCGGAAGATGCTCAACACGGGCTTCTGTGAATCTAACTTTCCACTCGACGTTAGCTAGAGCTCTATCTAGTCTAGCTCCCCTGAAAGTTGTTGTGTTGACTCCTCTCATCCAAGTAAAGGGCGGCCCCATAAATCCTAGATCGATCAATCCTTCCCTAAAAATCCATTCAGAGAAGTCGGTACATCTAGATGAATTGAAGGTGTCCGGGTTGCTCACTTCTTCCTTGTTCAAGACTGAGTTATAGTCCCCTACTAATAACCAGGGCCCTTGCAAGTCCAACTTAAGGCATGAAAGGTCAGCGAACAGTTTTCTGCGCAGCTGCATATTAGGACTACCGTAAACGATCGATAAGAACCATGGTTCAGCATCAGCTTCATTAACCTGCAACACTAAAAATTGAGGATGTGTATGGACTATATCTATAGAAATGCAGCTCTTCCATAGAACCCATATTCCCCCGGAAAACCCAAATGCCTCTATTCTCACCCATTCGGAAAAACCAAGGCTAGCACATATGCCATTTGCCTGGTTTCCTGAAACCTTAGGTTCGAGGAGGCAGACGATGGTTGGTTTATGAAGTCTAATAAATTGGTTGAGGGTGCGGCGAAACTCGTTCGAAGCCGCCCCTTGGCAGTTCCAAATTAAACTAATCATTAGGCAAAAAAGCGATAGAAAGTAAACACGCTAACTAGCTCCAAAAAAAAAGGATACAAGGAGCACCGAAGCTCGGTGTGACAGGGCGCTCAGGAGCGCAAATCTGCATCAAGTGCATCAGGGCCATTCTGGCCAACACCACCAACAACCTCTCCCATCTGCTCATTTGGCGGTTCAGGTGGGATGTAGTCTGGTACAGAGGAAGTTTGATGTCTACTTGATTCCCCTGCTTCAAACACCCTTAGAGGAGGCGTGTCTGGATGATCATTACTTCTATGAACCACCGTGCTAGTAATGCGCCCCCTACGATTGGAACCACGAACTACCGTATGCTCAGTTTCGGCTGCAGCTCTTCTTGGAACACTCACCTTCGCGATCCTGCCTCTTTTACCACCTCTCTGGGCATTTCGCGGAGTTCTCAGTTGGTCCCCTACCAGATTGGGTGGGTGGTTCACAGTAGGTGGGTGGACCATGTCAGTATGGGTGTTGGGGTGAGCATTAGTCCTAATTCTTGGGAGGTTGGCCGGCTGGCTTCCCATTCTACCACCCGGTTCTTCGATCTCTAGACTGTCTTGAACATCTGTTGGCAACTTCTCCCCTTCATCCATACCCGCAAGAGTGGCAAAGCGCGATGGTTCTCCCAGTCCTTGCTGTTGACCTCCAGCCATGCTTGGAGGGGTTTGCTTCCCGGGTTCTTGTCGATGCATAGCCTTTCTTGGACCTCTCCTGTCTTTCCTTGCTACGAGCATCCATGACCCGTATTTCGCCGACAAATCACGCTCAGGTCGAAGTGGCTGGATATTTGGCTGATTGGGGATAATGCCAATATCTCCTGCTTGAGCCGCCTCACCCATATCCGCGGGATTTGGTACACTATTGGATCCACACTGGTCAGCCCTGTGTCCATACAAGCCACATGCAAAGCACACCATATGGATGCCTTCGTATTCAACTGGCCATACCTTCTCCTCAATAGTAAATTTAGCTAACAAAGGCTTAGAAATATCAATTTCTACACAAACCCGGGCAAATTTTCCTTTTGAAATTAAACTAGTTGTGAAATCAACCCGTACTGGACGACCTATTCTTCTTGCTATTTTTCTTGCGAATCTTTGTTCGAAATACTCAACAGGGAGGGTTGGAAATCTTACCCATACCAGTAACTTCTTGGTGATGTTGCTTGTTGTATCAAAATTCGGTTCCCATTCTTGCACAACCAAGTAATGATCAAGAATCACCCATGGTCCTTCATACTTGGCGAACTCATAATCTTTCAGTGCTTCGAATTTGGCTATGAAGTAGTCGTTATTCAACACGATAAGCTCAAAGGTTGCATCCGGTTTCCACATCTTTTGAAGTCTCTGGCTTAAATATGAATAGCTCACTTTCCGGCCAAGAACTTTGCAGATCAAAGACCTTCGCCAAGGCCTCCTAATTCTTTCCTTCTCTTCCTCCGATACTGGAATTACTGGATTGCATGGGTCCGATTCACCGTCTATCATGACTTCTTCGTCGGAATCATCATCATTGTTCTCATAGAAGTTGAACTCTTTGGGGCCCCAAGCTTGATTCGGCATTGCGTCCGGAGTTTTCCACTGGGCAGAGCCAGGCGTTTGTTGCCCATTCTCCTGTGGTGTCTCTTGGACTCTGCTCACTGCCGGAGTCGGAGACGCTTCTCCCAACTCCGCCCTGCCTCTCTTTGGTTTCTTAGGGTTTCTTTCCGTTGATTCTTGAGCCATCGGCGACTGAGAGGTCACCTCCGGCATCACGTTATCCGAGAGCGTTTCAGAGATAATCTCCATTCATGCCATATCCCGTTTTGATCTGTTTCCTCAAATTGATACACCATATAATTACAACTTATTTTTTAAACTTTATCAAGAATAATAATGTTATTTAACTTTTGATCCGTGCATCGTACAACTGAAATACTAGTTATTTAATAATGTCTATAGTACATAATAAATTTCAAATAATAAGATAGAAATTATAACACGTGAAAAGTTATTGGATAAAAATTTTTTAGTATTATGATTCTAATGGTTATTTTACATCATAAACCCTAAACTAGATTACACAAACCATGGCTTCAACTTGAATGCAGTGAACTGCTGATGTACACAGAACGTACTATACAACTTCACCCTAAACCAAAAGTAAGCAGAGCATGACATGCACTTGGTATAATACAAAGATTTCCCTCAACGAGAACGCACCTTTGGATAACGGTTACAGATCTCTCCCGTAAATCAAAGATTTCCACATTGAATGTTGAAAACTCGCAAAATGAGAGCATTGTATGTGCTAAACTCTATAGCAGTTTGATTCATGCGATGAAAAAGAAATATGGTTGTCATAATTTAGAACCTATTCTCCACGGGCAACCACCTTCCAAGGCTTGTTCCACCACATCTTCCACTCTCTTTGCCGGTATAATCTGTTTATACAAGGATACAGCAAACACGATGAGCCACTCATTCTCTATCGCAATTTTTGTTCTGTATAGGCAGTATCTTACCTCGAGACTCGAAAGTATGCTTGCTGGGACTTCAGCTAAGTCCTTCAAGTTACTGTTTGGCAGTATCAGTCTTTTGATACCGTGGCGATGAGCAGCCAATACCTGAACTCATTTTCAATATCAAAACCTCCAATTCAGCATGGTTCCATTAAGGATGTTTGAGCAAATTTGTGGTAGTATTATTTTTGAATTTGAGCAAATATTTTATATGCTTCTAACTTATGATGCTTTGAATGAAAAATGGATAAACTACAAAGTTGCTGGAGCCATACCTTATCCTTAATGCCACCAACTGCCAAAACTAGGCCACTCAGAGTAATCTCTCCGGTCATTGCGGTATCTTCTCTTACACGTCTTTGGTTGAACAAAGAAACCAATGAGGTCACCAAGGTTACCCCGGCTGAGGGTCCATCTTTGGGTATGGCACCGGCCGGAAAATGGATATGAATATCTCTGCCCCCTAGCAGATCATGTTCTTCGGCCATGGATAACTTGAGTTGAGTTGCTCTGGCACGTACCTGTGACCAAAGAAATAAACAATAAGCTCAAAGATCATGGAACAACGGATCAGTAAAAATTGACAACAATGTAGAAATCAAGCTAAATGAAGTAGCAGGAGGGAGTACTGAAATTTTTTCCTATCCTATAGAGTAGCAATGATATTTCAAATAAATTCATACACGTAAAGTTTTCAAATGATATATACCAAAGCAGGGCTAAAATTTTAGTGTCACCCAAAGAGAATAAATATCATTCTCCGTATCCGTGAGTCAAAAAAAAGTGAAAGAAGGCCTCTTTAGCACTTCCAGTAACTTCTGTTCTTCTAAAGAATTAAGACAATGAAATACCATAGCCTAAGCATTAAAAGCAACATGATCACGATTCACTAGTTAATTTCTATTAATATAAATAAAGGGATAAAACAGTAATCAATCTTAATTCCAAAATAGTTAGCCTTGAGGGTCTCTCTGAAAGGATGTGTAGATCTTTCTTTTCCAAACCATATGTGATGCATGAGCTTTACACACAGTGCGGCCTTTTCTAATAGCACATAAAAGAAAGAAACAATGTGACGGAAAAGTTACCCATGTCAGTGCAATCTGAGCAGATTCTTTAATTACATCACCAAGTTGGCCTGTAAGATGGAGATCACCTCTTCCTACCATGGAAGTGGCCTCAACAAATTGCACCTCCCCTCCAAATGCTGTCCAGACCAGTCCAATAGCTACTCCAGGAGTATTAACTCTCTCTGCTGTCTCTCTATCACCATATATTGCGGGCTGCACAAAAAGTTAAACATCAGATCCAAGCAACAAAAATAAGAAGGCAATAGCAATGTGGCGTTGACTGTTGAACACCACAAGCAAAGATGGACAAAAGGAATGTCCTTACTCCTAGCACTTTCTCCAGCATAGTTTCATCAACAATCAAAGGCAGGGAAGTCTCGAGTGCATTTGATATATGATGATTGTTAGCCGCCATAGGAATGATTTCCATTTCAACGTCAGCCTCAACAGCAAGTTTGCTATCCAACAAGGGGTTAGTGAGCCTTTGCACATCTTTGCTGAGAGGCATAGCATGTTCTTGTTCCACCACTTGAACTGCCGCTGCACGTGCTAATGAAGCTAATTTTCTTTCCAGATTACGGACACCAGCTTCCCTAGTGTATTTTTGGATAATGAGTCTTACCACACCCTTTGATAAAAGAAGACCAAAAAAAAAAAAAAAAAACATGTACATTTAATTTGTCATTCAACAGTTTGAAAAAAATGATGATTATCTAATTGAGTAATTGACCACTTGATACTTGTGGAAGCAGTGTGCAAACATTTTACAATTCTGATACTATGATGATTGATAACAAGTAATGACTGCAGTACCTCAGGAATTTGAAGCAAATCAGAACTTAAGCCATTCTGATCAAGAACTCTTGGAATTAAGTGCATCATGGCTATTTTCAGCTTTTCTTCAGGTGTATACCCAGGCAATTCAATGACTTCCATTCTGTCCAAGAGTGCAGGGGGAATTGGTTGAATCTTATTCGCAGTTGCCACAAATGTGACCTTTGAAAGGTCAAATGGTGCATTTAGGTAGCTATATTTTGAATTAAAGAATCAAGACAAAGATGCATGATATGATAAATTATTGACACCAATTAAACAATCTTTTCCTGTATATGTATGCATTAACAGAATTTTTGACATAAATGGAACTCAAAATCACATTGCCAATATTTGACAATAATTTTTTTTTTTTTTTGGATTTGGGATTGGAGTTCAATATTCATCCTCCTCAGAATGTACCGAAAAAGAGAAATGTAACAAGCAATATGAAAGTAATTTAAAATGCAATACATATCTAAAGGCCAACTTGAAATCGCATCAAAATCTAAAAAGAACACTCAAAACACTAGAAATGGAAGACTAGTGTTGCATAATTATCAGGATTCAGGATAATTATGAAAAGTAATTCAAATAAGTAAATGAAAGGATACTGGTCATTGAAGGTCTTGTTCTGTTCAGGATCAAGGACCTCCAATAGCGCTGAAGCAGGATCACCCCGAACATCAGAACCTGTTTTGTCAATCTCATCTAGCAGCATGACTGGATTGGAGACACCTACTCTCTGATAGTCAAAAGAGAAAGAGTTATGTGAACTTTTCACCGAATTTTAAAAAGGCTATAAAAATAAAATGAAAATAGATATACATATGGCTTTTGACAAGTAATGGTGATGACATTTTTATATAACACAGCTGAGAACTAATTTTAGTTGCAGTATTGAAATAAATTTCTCTTTTCCCATTGACATATCCTGTTGGATCTGATTCAAAAAATATTATAATTAATAATTTGATTAGCATGCTTCATATTTGGCATAATGTGGTCTAGGAACATCTTGTGCCATGGAAAGTAAGTACATCTGTCCTTACTCCCCAACCAAACACATACATGTGATACTATAATAAATTGCATATTCCAAAAAAAGATTAAGAAACAGTCAATGAAGAAATCAAAAGCAGGCAATAACCATTTTTCACCTTTATTCCATCAATAAGACGACCTGGCATGCTTCCAACATACGTCCTCCTGTGCCCTCTTATATCAGCCTCATCCTTGACGCCACCAAGGGATATGCGTACAAATTCTCTGCCCAAAGCAGTAGCAACAGATGAAGCTAAAGATGTCTTCCCAACACCTGGTGGACCAACAAAACACAACACTGGACCTCTGGCATCTGGTTTTAGCTGCATGAAACATTTATAAAAATAATTAAATTACGTCAGCCACTCAAAGTATCAAATACATTACAAAGTGCACCTTAAGGCTAAATTGTAATCAACCTTGCGAACGGCGAGATATTCGATTATCCGCTGTTTAATTTTGAATAGACCATAGTGTTCACTGTCAAGACGCTCCTTTGCGGCTTTTAAGTCTAGTTCATGTTCTTCACTAGTCTTCTGCCAGGGAAGGTCAGCAAGAAGCTCGAGGTACACGCGAGAGCTATTATATCCAGGTTGCTGAGGCTGCATTTTTTTGAGACTCCTGATTTCTTGAAATTAAGTGGGGTTGAATAAATGGAACTACTCACTACAATAGAGCTAACCATGAAATTATGCACTTGCAATACTATAACTGCTACATCAGGTTCAATTACTATAATATGCTGCAAACCACTACAAATTTAACCATCCATTTCAAAAGATGTTACTGCCTCCATCCCATTTTGTAAGGGGTAATGTGTTTGGTATGATATTTAAGAAAACAAATAAGATGTGATATTCGGTCCAAATTTGTCTTTCTAAAAAGTGGTGATGTGTGGCCCACATAAAAAAGTCAAAAGGAATAAAAGATAAAGTGGGAAAAGTAAAAAGTTAGGGGTGCTTAAATTTAGGGAAGTGGACATTCTTTTGGGACAGCTTAAAAGGAAAGTAGGAAAAATTAAGTGGGGTGGAGGGAGTATTAGCTTATAGAACACTGTACTTAGAAACCACGTCACAAGTAGTATAAAAGGTTTGCATCTACTCATACCTTAGTTCTCTTCGTGCATGTTTCCAGACATTTACTGGCATTCCTGCTCCTAGCATCTTCCTTTCAAGGGCAGTCAAATCATCTTCTTCATCATCATTATCACCAAGTTCCTCCTTTATAGCCTTCATCTGGATGATATATGAGAGACAAACACTAAGTGCATGAACAATGAGCTCCATGTAAGCAAGTCACCTTTATCAATGGATACTGAGTTTAATGTCAGTATGTGAAGCTAAATGAATATGCTCAACTGAATCATACTTGAGCCATGGTTGGCAATAGACTTATAGACTTAAGGACTAAACTGAGAAGAGAAGCAGGAATCAAAAAGAAATATATGTTTGCATAATACAACTAGCAAACCTGCTGTCGAAGAAGAAATTCTTTCTGGGATTTTGACAAATTCCCCTCAACTTTTTGAGTAATCTTCTCAGCAACACGAATTGACTATAATAAATATTTTACAACATGATTTAGTATTCCATGAACCTCAGAAGCAGCGCACAAATCCAAACACACTGGCTCTTAAATAAATACCTGCAGATGCCTGTCAACTAGCTCTATTGCCTTAGAAAGCCTGCCTTTAACATCAACTGCATCCAACATAGATAGCTGTTCTTCAAAACTAATCTCAAAGCTAGCAACAAAAATATCTGCCAGTTTGTGCACTGGAACTGTCTCAAGAAGATTCTTTGTCCTCCCTCCAGTTTTTTGTTTCTTCACAGAGCAGAACAACAGCCAGTCAATACAAATAAAAGAATGCCAACCCATCAGAAATCTAAAATTAGTTTACTTTAAAATATGATTCATTAAGACGGGTGGTCCCACTCATGGGAGTCTGGAAGATGCATTAGTAAGTTCAACAGTTTTGCATATTGGTATTTGGAATGAGCACAATCTGTCAAGTTATTAAGACAGAAATAAGACTTCTGTTTTTTTTTTTTTTTTTTTTTTTTTTCCATTTTACTTCATCATAATATCTTAAAGTTACCACATTTTGTCTGTCTTTTTTTACTTCCATTATAAATCATAAGACTTGTTAGCCATAAATTCATCGAAAACAAAATAAATAAATGATAAGCCTGAATTTTAACCTGCTCAAGAACAGTGATAAGCTCCATTGCAGTAGCTTTGAATTGACGTGACAAGACAATGAATTCCTGGTCTTGCTCAACTTGCTCCATCTCTGATTAAGGACAGAAAAACACTAGTAACTCACATCTTGATGAAAGAGACAAAAGAGTATTCTGAACTACTACTGATATTATCATTAACATCAGGAATATAGGATACAAGTAGATAGTAAATATACCCCTAATAAATATGCACAGGTGTAAAATGAATAAATAATTGTGTCAGTGCAATCTGTACCCTCCCTTCTATTATTAAGAGTTCATAATCTGTTCTTACACACACACAAAAAGCAAACTTCAAACTTCAACTCATGGTTACAGAATATAATTAAAATTGCGCAACGGAAATTTAAGAGTAAAGAAAATATACACATTTAGCTCATGTAATCTATTTTAAGATATCCTAGCACTTCCACTAGTAAATAGGTGACAACTTGGCCAGTAAAACAATCCATGTCTTCTCATTGAACACTGAAGATATAATCTTGCGCGTCCTATTCTCCTAATTGTTTCTACTATCTTAAAAGCAAGTAATACCCCACTGGGTTTAACTGATCTACATCAATCATTCTTCTCTGCTCTAGAACTAGTTGAACCTAATATTTCACATCTTGGACTAGTCCATTGAAAATCAGTAAAATCCAACCAGATTTAGTGATTTACTGAACCTGCAAACAAAGTTGCATGTTTAAGAACTGATAACTTAGGATATCAATGCATCAGATTTCAAACCTAATTGCTGCTGTAGCCACAGAAATAGCCATCACCTACATATATACAGAAGGAAATAACAGAAGCTTTACCAGCTTTTGTCAACTCAAGAGAAGTAATTCGTGCTGTGTAATAAGTCCCTCTGGTACTTATCTCCTGTACACGGAATCTGCAAAGTCCTTCTAGCACAACTGTGTAAGTCACTCTCCCACTTGGTCTCTCTACTCCTCTTGAGAGATGTAGAGCTCGAGCTGCAACTCCCCTGCATTAAAAATTTAAAATCAGACATTGCAGTTAGATTTGTCAAATAGCCGTCACCTACGTGATATTAAATTAAACATTATTACTTTTAGAAATAAGGGTCAAATAGTCCATTCAACTACACATTAAAATATAATTAGATCATTGAACTCTAAAATATACAATTGAGTCCTTAAACTTAACCAATTTCATGTAATTAGTCCAATTTATAAAGTTTTTTAAATTTTTAATAAGTCACTCTAAATTTAAAATATTTTTTAAAAATAATTATTTAAAACTAATTATTCACTTTTTTTTTTAAACGTCTTCATGCCGGAGAGGCGGAGACGAAAAACTTCGTCTCCGACTCTCCGGCATGGAGACCTTTTTTTTTAAATAATTAGTTTTAAATAATTATTTTTTAAAAATATTTTAGATTTGGGGGACCTATTAGAAACTTGAAAAATCAGAGTGAGTGCATGAAATTGGTTAGTTTAGGGACTCAATTGCATGTGTTTTGAATTCGATGACCTAATTGCATTTTGATGTGTAGTTCGATGGCATATTTGACCCTTATTCCTTACTTTTATTATTGGAATAAGGTTCAAATTGGCCACTGAGCGTAACCTGAAAATGCAATTAGGTCACTGAACGAAAAAAAAAATGCAATTAGGCCACTGAACACCCAAAAACGTGCAATTAGACCACTGAACACTTCAAATGTATGCAATTTCACCGGATAGCAGGTTATCATCAATTTTAGCAGGTTACCTGCTTACGTGGTGTCTGAGTTGGCATTTTTAATAATTTTTAATAACTTTTAATAATAAATTTTTAAAAAAAATTGAAAAAAATAAATAAATTTAAAAAAAAAAAATTAAATTTGTTTTAAATAATTTTTTTTTAAAAAAATTATTATTAAACTTTATTAAAAATTATTTAAAAATTATTAAAAATGCCAACTCAGTTGCCACGTAAGCAGGTAACCTGCTAAAATTGATGGTAACCTGCTATCAGGTGAAATTGCATACATTTGGAGTATTCAGTAGCCTAATTACATTTTTTTTTTTTCGTTCAATGGCCTAATTGCATTTCCAAGTTACGTTTAGTGGCCAATTTGAACCTTAGCTTATTCCTTTATTATTTGACTCCCCAAATCCACAAATTATAAGCATGTTTTCTCTTCCCCAAAAATCTCTAACCGCCCAAATCCCTATTTTTTGTTTATGAACCATTTTCTATTTGCAACGCAACCTGCGAACTGTGTAAGCGAGCAACGAGTGATCCTGTGAGCGAACAATTTGGGGAGGCTAATACTAAAAGTAATAAGTTTCTTAAAAAATAATAAAAGTAATAATGTTTAATTTAAAAAGATAATTTAATATCCATGTAGGTGCCACGTGGCATAGTAACTTGTTGAGGAATGGATTAACCTGCTATTGAGTATAATCGAATAGATTTGACTTTTTGAAAAATTTAATTGCACATTTTTTGAGTTTAATAGTCTGATTGTATTTTTGTGATCAGTTTGATAGTTAAAACTACGTCATTTTGTCAAATTTTTTTTCATTTATATATTTAGAAACTCAATGTTTAGTGTTTATAAATTAGACACTATATGTTCATAAACTCAAAGTTTATCTTAACATTTAAAAATTATATGTTCATAAACTCAAAGATACAATATTCACTCTATTACGTGTTCATAACATGTCTTATATATATTTAAAAACTAAAAATTTAATCTCCATAAACTATATGTTATATGTTCATAAACTAATATATTTCAAAATTTAAAGCTTAATATTGGTTATTATAATAATTCATAGATACATTGTTATTGAGTCATTGACAACAAGTTTAACGCGGAAAGAATTATCAGTACTTGCAAATTGGGTTGTGATCTAATCATCCACTCAATCTCTTCATACTTTTTATTTATTTTTTAATCCTAAACAGCAAATGCAATCAATTTCTTTCACGTTCATACTTCTATACTCATCAACTCTGATCTTTTAAATACTAATTAAAAGTTAGCATTTGGAAGGAAATAAATCACGGTCGGTGCGTATAATGAATTTGTTAATTTTAGACATAATTCCCACATTGTCAGATATTCGAATGTTGATCTCTTCTCTCAAATACTATTCACTAAATCATTGAACTAAGCCTGTGTGGGCAATTATAATTATTTTTCTTAATCTAGTACTAAATGACTTTTTATATTTAAGTGCGTCCTGAACTTTGATAGTTTTACTTAATTGAGTAATCTTCATCGGTTGGCTGTTAGGATTAAAGACTAAATCAAGAAAAATCACTATAATTGAAGACTAAATTCGGTAAAATTACTATAGTAGATGCTTAAACTAAGTAAAACCATTATAGTCGATAACTAAATTAGGTATTAATAGAGAGAAAATTATCAAGCTATCAATCTATCATAACAGATTGCTTAATTAGATAAAACCATTGAAGTCCAAAACACAATTAAATACAAATAAATGTCATTTAGGACTAAATCGAGAAAAACCAATTGAGTATTAAGTCTTAAAAAGTTTATAAATCTTTAGCCCAAACTCAACACAAAATTCGAGAAACTGAGTACGTATGAATAATACGTTAGGACATCCTCATTAGTTTGAGTTTTTTACTCAATTTTTGTGGGCCCTAACATCCACCCTATCATCCACTATTTCACTCAATCTCAAAAATCCTTCTCCTATTAGTTTTAAGTTTTTTTTCCTCAATTTTTTATATGAACCCACTATTTTACTCCACTATATTTTAATTATTTTTATTTCTTTATTTATTATCATTATAAAAATTATAATTACAAGGGATTTTGAATAGCAATATGCTAGGTGACCTACACCTTTTCATCTCAAATAATGAAATTTATTGATTGGCCCGCATGAGTAGCTCAACTGATCATAGAAGTGAAAGTTTGAAAGAATGATCAAGGATCGAGTCTCACCAGTCACAGTGTGGGAGCAACATCTCCTTGTGAGGGCCCATAAGATTGGGGTTGGGATTCAACCTTTTGGAAGAATGAAATTTAAAATAGTTAACCCATCTACCGCACACTCCAACAATGTAGATTGTGGTTGCCTAACACGTGTGAAGTGAGCCTTGACTACATCTATGCACCCTCAAATGCCCATGGTTGCACTAACATATATCTCGCATTGCTCCGTACGTAGTTTGTAGCCACGTCAATCAAAGCGTAAGATCATAACAAACAATTTTTTATATAAAAACATATAAATTTATTTCTTAAGATTATAATAAAACGAATTATGTTTATTAATTGTTAATAAATTACTCGACTTTAGATTAAAAGTCAATTTATTAATGAATCAACTATGCAATTTGACATACTGACATAATTCATCAATTTCTTAGAGAGCAAGTGTATGGTTTTTTTTTAAAAAAAAAAAAAAATCTTTTCTTATACTCAATATATAGGAGATTAAATATGAGAACGTTGTTGTCTTCTAGAAAGTGGTAAGTTCTCAACGTTTATCATTAGCTTAGTAGTGGCTAAATATTCCTAATATCCTAAGGAGTTCTCAGCCGTTGGAATTCCTGATAAGATTGTGAACAGCTGAGATTAAAGGGTTTCTTGATGTAATACGTCACCCTGAGTCAGATGTATGGCATCAGCTTAGACAACGTCAGCTGGCTGCTTAATGCCTTAATTAGTTAATTGTCAACCGCCATAAGTGGTCCATTTGGAGTCGGCAACTCGGCAACCTCACGGCTAGGGATGGCAACGGGGCGGGGCGGGGGCGGGGACTATACTCCCCGTCCCCATCCCCGCTACCCCGACCCCGTCCCCGTCCCCGTCCCCGTCCCCATCCCCGGCGGGGAGTAGAAAAAATTTCCCGTCCCCGTCTCCGCGGGGAATTTGACGGGGACGGGGAATCCCCATCCCCGATCAATCAATAGTTAAAATGTTAAATTAATATAATTTTTAAAAATTAAAAAAAAAATAAATTAAAACAGTACATACTTTATGCTATGAAATAATGTAAAGTTAAAAACTCATACAATACATAGTTACATACAAAACTCACTGTAATGTACATTAAAAAACTCAGTGACAGTAAACTCACATTCATTACATATATTTGATACAGTACACGCTGATTTCTAATTCTAATGCTAATTTGTAATTTCTAAATCTAATAATCTAAATTCTAAATTTCTAATATATATATATATATATATATATATATATATATATATATATATATATATATATATAATTAGTCGGGGACGGGGCGGGGCGGGGAGGGGTATCCCCATCCCCGTCCCCGTCCCCGCCGGGGAATTTCAAAAGGTCCCTGTCCCCGTCCCCGATCCCCGAAATTTTCCCCCGTCCCCATCCCCGTTCTCAACGGGGACGGGGATCCCCAACGGGGACGGGGATCCCCAACGGGGACGGGGATCCCCAACGGGGACGGGGCACATTGCCATCCCTACTCACGGCTCACTGATATTATTAATTTATTTGGGGTAAGATATTATTTATTTATTTATTTATTTATTTATTTATTATTATTAATATTATTATTATTATTATTATTATTATTATTATTATTAATGGAGAAACCCTTAGAGCAATCCTAAGAAGTTTTTGGAGGTTTTTTGGCAAATGATCGACAATAATGTCAGTTGGAAGAAAGAGAAGGAAATTATATATATTGCAGTAAAATGACTTTTTGTAAGTCCTGCAGAATAGAAAATAAAGAAAAACAGGGTTCCTCATATTTGTGTTTGCCGCACAATCTCATACTCAATCCTTGATCATTTTTTAAAATTTTTACTTCTATGACCAGTTGAGCTATTCATGCGGACATTTCAATTAAAATTTATACATTATATTTAAAGCGTGTAGTAATATGCATTTCAATTATTTTAAATTAATTCATTCAATACCAACTACCATGTAGTATGATGATATTCTGATTACCATTTCAAATGTGTGGTCATAAGTTCAAACTCTGCTGGCGGGGGTTTAGATTCTTTAGACTTTAAAA